CAATCAAACATCACACAGAAAAAACATTAAAAAAAATATAAGTTTCAGCATTTTATTTTGAAAAAATATAATAATGTGAATATGGAAATTTGTACCTCTACGCAGTGCAAACTGAGCATCCTTTGTCATAGCATCTGCCTCATCCAGTAAGACTAACTTTACAGATGATTTTGCACTGCAAATATAACAATTTATCATAGATGGCTCCAGAGTATGTTATCTGCCCACTAATGGACCCGGATGGTAACTAAAAACAGGATTCACAAAATATATCGCTCTCTTAAATGTTATGTTAAAAACATGCACAGATGTCAGAATCAGACTAGTTATCACAAAGCACCTAGAAGTATTTTGACATTAATAACTGGTTTACGGACAATGTACATCAAAGATGAAATTCCAACTTCAAAGATTGTTTTTGATAAGTCATTAGAATGATTTTGTCCAAGGAACAAATAATTTCATGCTATTGAGATATCATTGTATTAACACAAATGACTAAATATTTATCAATCTTAATAGCAGATAACTAGGAAACAAAACTAGAACAAAGAAATGTCCAAAAAGTCAGTTGAATGTTTCATTTCTTGAAACGTAAATTACAAAACAAACTCTTCAGTGTAAAACATGAGTGCATCCAATACATAACAAAATTAAGTTATCGACGAAGTTTCTTTCAAAGGGGATAAGAAAACTACAAACATCTTTCAACTTTGGCATTTTAGATTGGACAACTCAGAAGAGAAGCCAGATGAACTAGAGTTACTGGAACAAGTGATATTTCATGAAATCCTCTAACTGGTTTTATGAATTCAGTTTACTGTTATTCAAGGTCAGCTCTCATTAAAGATTGTCGAATGCATACTCCAGTTGTAACCAAGAGAATATTAAACCTTACACTCATGGGATGCCAAAATAGGCCACCTTACCTAGTGATTAGAATTGGCAAAACATGTTAAAAACATTGAAACAGCTATACACAAATGATTACCCAAATGAAAAACTCTGAGTGCTAGCAAAATCTTGGATCTGTTGCCGCACAATTTCAATTCCCCTATCATCTGATGCATTCAGCTCAAGAATCATGTTGTGGTATTGTGCTCCATAAAGCTTGCGTGCCACGGCAAGAATGGTTGATGTTTTGCCCGTGCCAGGAGGACCATACAACAGCAAATGGGGTAATCTGTTCTCACTGGTCAGCCTATCAACTAACTCACAGAATGAAGATAAATTTTAGTCAGAACTACATGATTGAATTTAACATTGTATTTATTTTTATTTTCTTATTTATGAAATTTAATATATTATAATGATAGCCTCAATTCTACCCTGACTTCACAGTTTCTGCATTGTTTTCCTCTCAAAACCTCATATCAGCTCATCATCAATGCTTATGCTTATGCTTAAATAAAAATCAACTATCTAACACCTACTGTTTCACTGACATGCTCAAACAACTTTATTATTTTGCCTCTCAATTTTCCTTTATAAAATCAAAGATCATAGCAAGTTTTTCTCTTCAAAGAAGCACTGGAGAAAATATTTAACGTCTCCAACATATATTCTACGAAATTCCACCGAACATAATAAAATCAATATATGCATATGCGACTGTTTGTCGGAAACGAGTTCCCATTTTGTTCTCTTATATTGAGCATTTAATTTTCAGGAGCCAAAAAATGCATAAAAACCCCGGATAAACAAAATGAAATTTTCATTTCGTACTCATTTCGTGTTTCTCCGGTCTTCAAACAAACAGGAAAAGGGAAAGGAAATCTGCATTAAAGAAAATAAAAGAAACCCTAGGAGGAAGAGAAAATAGATGATACTTGTTTCCACAATATCACGATGAGCAGCCACATCGGCGAGTGACTGGGGGCGGTACTTCTCGACCCACGGGGTGGCCTTGCCGTCGGAAACGACAACTTTTTTCCCACGGTAAGGCTTGTAAGACTGGTTCCAGTTGTTATTCTCCTCCTCGTCGACATCCATCAATGAGACTTCCTCCGTCATCTTTGTCGACTCGCTTTCCTCTACTGCTATCTCTCTCTCACACTCTCAACAGGTCGGTGGCTCTGACTCTCCGTCTCAATACTGCTTTCCTCTACTTCATAGGACCTCGGTGACTGGTGTAATGGCGCCAATCACAATTCGATGTGGGTGGATACTGTTAGTTGTCGTACAGTTCTTGCCGTTTTCAACCTTCTCTCCTGCGTTTAAAGAAACAGAAATTACATTTGTTCCCCGAACTTTGTTAATTATATACAAATTGTCCTTTTTTTATTTAACATAAATTATTTTTTTATGTTATATTTTATTTTTTTCATGACTTTATTATATATTATTAGCACTTAAATTACCTTCACTTACCACTTAAAATATTCAAAACAAACATTCGTTATTAATAAATATTTTTATATTATTTTATTTATTTATTACTGGCTATATATTGTTAGTGATATTATTTTTTATTTTAAGTGCATTTTTTATCTATTTTTAAAAAAATTAATAATATATGCAAAGTTTATAATAATGTAGTAAATAATATATTTCATTTTTGTTCTTTTTTAAAATCAATTATATTTTTATATAATATAATAAATTTTGCAAAAAAGTCATAATTTTTATAATAAATAACACATATAATTTATTTTTTATAATAATAACGTATTTTTACTTTTTTAATATTCAGTAATCCAATCGAATGTAACTATCATAAAACAGTATGACATGATATAATAAAAATTATTAATCATATTTAGTTATGACATAATTATCTATCGTAAAATAATATGATAATGTTTAATTAGTTTATTTATTTTTAATTTTGTCGCACTCAACCATAATTAAATTGTCTCGTGTCATATCAAATTGAAACGAGTCACCCCTATAACGAGAGGATCTAACGTCAACTCGATGCAACCCTACTCATTCGTTGTATTATCCGACATTGTCATAATATAATTCGGAGCCCCGATCGTATCATCCAGTACCATTACAGGGTCATCCCGTCCCTCCCTAGCAACATCTGGCCCCTCTTCTATGGACTCAGTTTCACTTATGATGGACTTTATAGAGATTGACACGGGGGACCCTGATGTATTTATAAGAATAAACTGGTTAGCAGCGTATCACACCACCGTTGATTGTTTCACGATAAAAATTGTATTTAAGCCTCGTAATGAATAGTTATTTACAAGCTAATAAAAGTTTTGAATAATTTTCATTTGTAACAATTTCCTTTTTACACAGCACTTTAACTCAATTGTTTTCTCTATAATTGGCAAACTTAAGAAATAAATTTATATTTAAAGATACTGGTAGTCTGAGACTTTTCAAATGTGTTTCCTGATGAACTTCTCATACTACTAGTTAACAGAAATGTTGAGTTTACCATAGACCTTTAGCCTGACACGCAACTTATCTTAGTTTTTTCTTACCGCATGAGTCGTGTCGAGATAGATGAGCTGAAAAAATAGATCAGTGAACTGCAGGATAATAAGTTCATCTGATATAGTGTGTCCCCTTGGGATGTTGGAGTCACATTTATAAGGAAGAGATATAAGACATTAAGGTTATGTATTAACTACAAGATACTGAACAGGGTCACGATCAATAATAAGTACCCCCTCATCATGATCAAGGACCTTTTTGATCAGTTGCGGGTGTCTAGGCCTTCTCAAAAATAGACATACGTTCAGATTACCACAGGTAAAGATTAAGGCATAAGACATTCCAAAAATAGCTTTTCGAACTATGTATAGATGCTATGAGTTTCTTGTCATGCCATTTGAACTAACCAACACACCAACCATCTTCATGGATTTGATGAACAGGGTTTTCAGATAATTCATTGATTAGTTCGTCATTGTATTTATCGATGATATCCTGATTTATTCAAAAAGTATAGAGGAACACGCTCACCATCTGACTCAGGTTTTGCAGATTCTCATAAAAAAGAAGTTATATGCAAAGTTGAGTAAGTGTGAGTTCTGCCTCAAACAGACTACCTTCTTATGACACATCGTATCAAGGGATGGAGTGTCAGTGAACATCGAAAAATGTGAGACAGTGCTCGGTTGTGAGAAATTGACATCGGTCAATAAGATTCGTAACTTTCTGAGGATGACAGATTATTACTGCAAGTCTATGTACGGATTTTTTTAGTTTAATGGCTCATTTGACATGGTTCGCAAAAAAGAACGTCTAGTTTTAGTGGAACAAGAATTGTGAAATAAGCTTTTCAGAACTAAAGAAGCGGTTGACTACTGCACCTGTGTTGACCTTGCCGAGTGGGACAGGTGGATACACAGTTTATAGTGATACCTCCTACCTGAGGCTGAGTTGTGTTTTGATGCAGCATGAGAATGTCATAACCTATGGGTTTAGGCAGTTGAAGAGTCAAGAGAAAAACTACCCCACCCACAACTTTGAAGTTCTTGAGATTATTCACGCCTTAAAGACTTGGCGCTATTACTTGTATGGAAAGACTTTTAAGATCTATACTGACCATAAGAACTTGAAATACATATTCACTTAAAAAGATCTCAACATGTGTAAGAGATGATGGATAGAACTCCTAAATGACTACGATTGCAACATTTTATATCACTCAGACAAAGGTAACGTGATAGTCGCCGCACTCAGCAGAAAAAATACAAGTATGTTAGCTCACTTAATGGTTTCAGAATGCAAGGTAATAAGGGCCGCACAATAGGTACGACTTCAGGACCTAAAGAGAGTTACATACTTAGTCCACCTGACTATTCAATTTGAGTTGATCTAAAAAAATAAAAAAAGCCCAACCCGCCGATTCCACCCTAGCTGCGTTAAAAAAAGATGCAAAACATGGAGTAATTTCAAAATTTAAGTATCTGTCAATAGGTTACTTAGATTTCAGGACAGAATGTGTGTTCCATGTGACAGTGAGCTGAAAAATGACATAATGACAGAGGCTCATAACTCAAAGTTTACCATGCATCCCGAAAACATTAAGATGTATCAAAGTATGCAACCCCAGTTTTGGTGGAACGGGATGAAAAGAGAGGTGGTCGATTTTATTTTTAGGTGTCTAATGTGTTAGAAGGTTAAGACAGAGCATCAACGCCCAGACGTGTTACTTCAGCCATTACCGATTTTAGAGTGAAAGTGAGAACACATCACAATAGATTTCGTGACAGAATTACATAGAGTATGCTCGGGACATGATGCTATTTGAGTAATTATTGACTGGCTCACTAAGTCTTATCACTTATTGGCTATTAAGTTGACCAACCCCTTGTACAAAATAGCAAGAATGTATATATAGGAGATAGTCAGGTTACATAGAGTGTTAGTGACAGTAGTATCTGATAGGGACCTCAAGTTCATTTATCGGTTCTGGTCTAGTTTTCAGCAAGTCATGGGAACAAAACTGTCTCTTAGTATTGCATTCCACCCTTAGACCGATGAACAATTAGGAAGGACGATCTGCACACTGAATGATATACTCGGAGCTTGTGTTCTTGACTTCAGGGGCTATTGGGATGATCATTTACCATTAATATAGTTTTCATACAATAATAGCTACCAAGCAAATATCGACATGGCTCCGTACGAGGGGTTATATGGTCGTCTATGCAGATCGTCAATCTATTGGGAAAAAGTAGGTGATATGAAATTGTTTGACCCATATATTATCGAGGAGACTACAACCAAAATAGTTAAGATCATGATGAATATTCATATGGTTCAGAGCAGATATAAGAGTTATGTAGACACCCAGATGAGGGATTTAGAATTTGAGAAAGGTGATCAAGTGTTCCTTAAAGTTACTCATTTCAAGGGAATCAGTAGGTTTGGCAAGAGGGAAAAACTAAATCTCCAGTTTATTAGGTCATTTGAAACTTTAGATAGAATTTGTACCATCGCCTATAGACTGACACTGCCTCCATAACTAGATAGAGTCCATAATATCTTTCATGTGGCTATGCTACGCAAATACAACTCGGACCCATCTCATATCTTGGCCCATGAGCTCCTTTTACTATAGGAGGATCTGTCATATGAGGAGGTACTGGTGGGCATTATGAATTGAAAGAGTAGAGTACTCCGCAACCGAAAAATTCCATTCGTTAAGGTCTTATAGCATAATTACAGGCAGAGATATCCCACATGGGAGCTAGAATCATACTTCAAAGCACATTATCCCCAACTGTTTAATTGAGTGAGAGGGAGACAAATTTGAGGGATCAAATTTTTTTTAAGGGGGAGAGTTGTAATACTTGGATCTGAAATTTGGTCTGAGATTAATTTTAAAATTTTAAAAAAGTATAAAAATTTAATTTAGTATGAAATTATGAAAAAAATAGGTTGAGAACGAAGTTGAAAAATAATTTTGGAAAAAAATAGGTGAAATTTTGGGTTTAGATGGTATTTTTAAAAACAAAATCAGAAACTGAGGGTCAGAACGCAATTAAAGAAAATTACCCTTACGTATGAGCGCCCAGTCAGCAGCCTCAACAAACCGGAGTGTGCCGCGTGGTAAGACACGCTGACTTGGTGTCACGCGAGAGGTCACGTTGGCGATCTGCGTGAACTTCGATCGGATGGCCCGAAAGTGTTCCCGCGTATGTGGGCGGTCTAGATCTGTTCCCTCCTCATGTGCGATCTGACGGTCGTGATTAAACGCGATAAACGATCTAAATTTGTTCCCTACTTAAACGTGATTGGACGGTTATGATCAAATCACGATGAACGGTCTAGATTTTTTTTTTAAATACAATCGGACGGTCGAGATGAAACACAATAAACGGTCCATATTAACTTGAGATGTGTATAAATATTTTGCATCACACTGAACCTAAACCCTAGCCGCTAGTCTCCCACCGGAGAAGAAGAACCAGTCGCTAGAGAAAGGAGCCTACCGCCGCCTATCGCCGCGCCGGAGCCACATTCGACGCCAAAAAATGTAAAAATTCTCCCATGCACTTAGAATTTGATTTTGAACACCCCCATGACCAAATGGGAGCAAAAGAAACGGCTAGTGAACCAAAAATTACGGGTAAAGCCCCAACGCCACCGCCGTAGGCAAAACCCAAAACCTTCTCCGATGAGCCCCTTCCCGTTTCCTGTTTCTTGTGATTTTTTTACCGTTGTGTTCACCGTTCTGTTTTCTACAGGTTAACCAAAGAAAAATACACAGCCACGAAGGTGAGCCGGCAGAGCCGTCGCACCGAAAAATTTTGCCACTTATAGGTTTTTATTTTTTGACTTTTTTCAGCCAATCGAGACCTCCTAACATGTTTTCTCGCAGAGATAGGTATAAAACCGGCCGAAATCGACCAAAACTGGCCAAAAATGGTAGGTCGAGGCAAATCGCCGCCGTGCCATAATTTCAAAATTAGCCAAAAAAGGTTTTTAACACTGATTTTTGGTTTTTTGTGGTATTTTTAGGTACGTTAAACGTGTTTTAATATCCTTATGAAAATTCAGGAAACTTGGGGACTGCCAGTAGGTGCAGTAGAAATTCGATGTTTCGAACACTGATTTGGGTAATAATCTCTTATTTTATTCTCTGTTATGAAATTAAAGTTTAATAATTGATAATATAGTATTTTATGTGATTTAGAAAACTCTGAAAATAATTACAAGTTACTAATAGAGGCGAAACCAGTTAGTCATTTATTTGTTGCTCTATGTAACTGAGTGTTTAATTTACAGTTTTAAATAGATAATGATATATTAAAATGACTAAATAATTCAGTTGTACTTTCTTGACATATATATTATTTGTCTTGCGTGATTTACGATTGATTTGTAAAATTAGAAATTAATATGTAAATGAAAAATTATTTGGTCATGTAAATTAATGAATGATAGCCTTATTGGATATCCTGAGAGATGGTGGACGGACCTGGTACGTAGGGAACTCTACCTTGAACATTGCCTCATATCGGACGGGGTATTGAGTGATGATATTTTTTGCGCTCATACCGGCCAAAGTATGAGAACAACCCGATTCACCCTCATACCGAACGAGGTATTGAAGGATGATATTTTAGTGCTTATACTAGACGGGGTATAGGGACAGCTGGTTAGTCGATAATATTAGATATTGGTTCACACGTAGTTGGACATTCCTATGAACCCTCATGGATACCAGTAGACAAATAATAAGGGAAAGTGGTTGTTATTGCTCGCTTGAAAATAAAATTTGAATGTTATTTGAGTTATTGTCTTTATAGGTCGATTTTAGAAATATCAAAATAAATGATTTTTTTTATTATAAATGAATTTACTTAAATCAATAGGTCAATTGGTTGTTTTTATGATTTTTACCAACTTTTAATTTATTTATCGGTGAGTAATGTGATATTCTTATTAGGTTAGTGTAACTCACAATTTTATTAACTATTTCAGATCAATATGATCAATACCTATATCCCGATCAGTAAGATGGTTGTGAATAGTTCACCACCCGAATCTCATTCAAAAACTAGTGAATGTCATATTATAATGTTTAGCATATTGTCTTTTATTTATTTATTTGATTTTCGTTTGTTATTTTAAAATTTTTATTCCCGTAATCCTATTAGATATTATAAATTATTGCGTAAGGAATGTAAAAATTAAACTCTATTATTTCGGTTCTACAATTAATTTATGACTTTTATTTCTTTTTAAATTTCAGTTTTTATGTATATGCAAATAAGGATGAAAGTAATTAGTATTTTTTTTAAAATAACTTATGAATTATATTTTTTTACTTCTTAAAATTTATATTACTTTTTTATAGGAATAGTTTTTATAACATAAGATTCTCATATTTACCCATTTTAATTTTTATTTCATATGATGACAAATTTACCTTATGTCATATTCTGAACAGATCGTGCACAAAACTCCTGACTCATGGGTATTTTGGACATTTCAGCTTAATAAAACAAAACCGGCACAAAAACGAAAACGAATACAAATTCAAACAGCCAATAGAAAATTGAAGGCTTGTTTTGGAGGGAGCCTTTTAGCAGACAACAAACAAAAGCCGGCACAGCTCCTTTTTCCCAGCACGTGACCTCCATTTTGCCTCTCCTTCTCTCTCTGCCAAAATGTCCACTCGCTCCCGCAGACCCTCTGCAATCTCGCCGTTCCGCACGCGAAACTCGCCGGCTCAGCCGCCACCGGCGACGACGAGACGGCCGGTGACTCCTTCCTCTACGACGTCGTCTAAGCCGACTTCTAGGCTATCGGCTTCTCCGGCCACCTCATCCAGTCCAGGCCCAAGCTCTCATGCCTTGGTTGTTGACCGGCCAGAGGCCGCGCCAACCAAGCCAAAGGAGAATGTCACTGTCACCGTCAGGTTTCGTCCTCTCAGGTACTGTGGTTCGGTTTCCTTCTTTCTGTTGTATGCTGTGATGGAGAGTGGTGAATTTTCTGTAATTTTAGAGGCTGCTGCAGCTGACGGTGGGGGAGCTTTGGTTTTAACTTTTGTTGAGCAGTCCACGAGAGATCAGTAAAGGAGACGAGGTAGCATGGTATGCGGATGGGGATTCGACCGTGAGAAACGAGTACAATCCTTCTATTGCTTATGGTTTTGGTTAGTATTTTCAATCTTTAATCTTAATCATGGCTTCTGTTATATTTCGACTTCTTTTCTTAGTTATTAGTTATCCTACCAATAGAGCATATATTTTTTCTCTCGACGTTTTTTAATGTTGACAGTGCATAGTCTGCTATATTCATTTGCTCGTAATTTTTGTTGGGTATAATCGAATAATTATACCTAATGGTGGAATCAATAATTGTACAAATGATAACTAGGTAACAAAATCGTAACTACTAATTTATCGAGACACGGACGATTTAGATTTTCATTTATTTGGTACAGAAAGTCCTGGATTCGTGAGGCAAGGTGCCGTGCATCCCGTATGTTCAAATATTTCACAATGATATCTTTATATATTTGAAAATCGGGAAAAGAGACCGTCTTTCAAATTTCTTTTTTGAGAAGAAAAGACGATTAGTTGATACAGGACATGAAGATCCTAAAGTGGATATTAAAAAAACGATCTTAAAGTGAACATATTTCTATAATAAGATATATTTATGAAACTGTATTGTTTGTATAATTTAAGGTATTTAGATTATTTAAAAACTAATACCTTTATGAAATAAGTTTTATTATTTTTTTATTTGGTGTTTGTTAAAGCATCTAGAACTACAAAATAGCACATTTTTACAAAGGTTTCGGTATTCCGAAGCCTTCTTTCGACCAGTTTAAACCAGTTTGACCATATCCAGTTTGACTTTTTTGGTTCATCTACCTTCAGACCGATTCACAATATTTCCAAACTGGTTCTTAAGGTTTTTCAGCATATATATATATATATATTGTTTTTTTTAGGCTAGTTTGGTTGGATTCTCATTCTACACATTTAGTTTTCATTCCTATTTTAGCTTCTAACAATTTTTTTTTTTAAAAAAGAATCTACATTCCAATATTGAATAATAACCTCCCTGAGATAAAAACTAGATTTTCATTCAAGATTGAATATCATTTTGAATCATAGGAAGCAGTCCTTCTGGGGAATCCAAGATCCAGAACCTAAACAAATGTAGAGGACTGATGAATTGTGAAGATTTGTGATTTTCATTTTATTGCGAGTGAGAGATAAGGTGCAAGGGTCAAGATATTTGTAATTTACATAAGAAATACAATCTTTCAACTAAGATTGTAAAACTTCTTACACGGTTAAAATAGGAAAATCTAGAAAACCATAAGCACAAAACTGAGCTGAATTTATTACTTGAACCTGTGAAAGTCTTTTGGATAATTAACATTCTGTGAAGTATTGCAGTTAGTTTGGCCAAACCACATTACTAATGGAATTAAATAGCCGGTTTGTTGTTGGATTCAAAGTTTGCACATGCGAGAGCATATGAAGGATAACTTACGCTACTGAGCATTTTCCATTGGCTAAGCTTTTGATCAGTGGTTTGTTCAATGTCAGTGATATAAATTCGAAGACCAATTGATAAGATATATATTTGTATTTGAAAATTTTTAAAAGACCCTTGTAATAATAATAATCAAGAGAACTTAACCTTGGAAATTTATTTACTTCCCTTGGACAAGTTGCAAACTAGAAGGCACTTTTGGTATGTTTATGAGAATTTTCATTAAAATCTAAGTATATGTCAATTGTTGTCAAAATATTTTTTTCTTTCTTTCCTAAGCAGTTCATAAAAATTCTTTAACACAAGCATATGTATCATTCATAAAGTGCCCTCATGGAATTATATATACGTGCCTATATGCGCAAGCATACATGTGCATGCTCATATTCGTATCTGAATTTTCTGGCTTCTTGATGTACATGCAAATGCATTACAGATAAGGTATTTGGTCCAGCAACGACAACGCGCCGTGTTTACGATGTTGCTGCTCAACATGTTGTCAGTGGCGCAATGCAAGGGATAAATGGTATTGACATTAATCTTCTTTTGTCCAACATATTTGATGTATTAAAGAGGTGCTTGCCTGTGATTGTGTGAGGGACTAGGTACATGGATTGAATTTTTTTTTTTTTAAAAAATAATAGTACTATGTTATGACTGTAGTTAATCAAAAAATCCAATTGTTGAGGAAGAAAAAAGAAGAATAATTAAGGAAGCAATGTTTACTTTGGTGGAACGTCTAATGTACTACCAATTTTTTTTTTGGGTATTCTGGTAGAATAGTTTACTGCTACATCTGTTATGGTGGATTTAATGTGTATTATTATTTTTTTTTGCTAAAAACTGTTAAGTTGGCAGTTTATATGATTTGAATAAGTCTATAACTGCTATATAGGATAAGACAGTTACCATAAAGTAGTTATTCGATCTATTCTAAGTATAATTCTGTTTTTCAGTGATTAAAGGAATTAGAGAAGAGTTTAGAAAAACTCTACTAAGTATCTTAAACTCCAGGAGATCTTTGGTTGTCCATTAATGAGCCTATAAGACTAATTTATCCCATAAGAAGATCCTAATAGTACCAGACATAGCTGTGGGTGATCTACAATTTCTCCAACAAAATTTTGAGAATTTTCTCAAATAGTACCAGGAGATTGGGCAAAGAAATATTTTGACCGGAAGCAAGACAGGGCAAAACAATAAGCATTAACAACAAAGTTGGAAGAAATTTCCAGCAAGTTTCCAAACACCAGTCCAGGTATCAAAGAGGGAGGAGAAGGTAGTATTAATAGGGAACAATATGATCGGCAACCTGCTATCATTCAAAAAACAGAGATGTTAGTAATGGAAGTAAAGATAGAGGAAGATGGACTGAGCATGAAGTAGATATGGACAATGATGCATAATTCTGGGTGGTGATGAAAGTTGCCACTGAAGGTACCAATTTCATGGAGGAAGATGAGCATGCTGGTGCCCAGGGACCCACAAATATCACCTATTTGGAGAACTTTTTTGGGAAAAGTTTCACTCATTTGGAGAATTTCGTTGAAAAATCAGTAGGCGTGTAACGAATAGGAAGTATCACTCACCCTGAGAATTTTCATAAGGAATCTGTTGAACTTGATATAAGCATATGCTTCTTCTTTCAATTTGATACACTTCCAATGATGGTGAGGCCATCCATATATGCCCATGTGCCTTCCCTTATATCTATGTTCATTCTCTATTCCTTTTGACGGTGTTGGATTTTTGCATTAAATTTGGTAATGTGCAGGTTTGGTCCACTGGAATGGTTTGTCTCCAGTAAATGCTCGTTGGGACTTGGAAGTTGGTTTTTGATATGTTAACTTTATGCGCTTGAGGACAAGTGCTATTTGGAGAAGGGGAGTGATATTATGACACAGAGTGATCATGACATCCAATTGTTAGGGAAGAAGAAAGAAGAATAAAGGAAGCTAAGTGTTAGTTTGACAGAATGTCTAAGCGTGCAAATGTTTGTTAATGGTGTGTTAGAATAATTTACTGCCATATTAGTTATATTAGATTTAATGTGTTTGTTGTCTTTTTGCCAGCTGCTGAGCTGGCAGATTATATGATTTGGATGTGTCTGTAACTGCTGTCTAGGATAAGGCAGTTACTATAAGATAGTTATTCAGTCTATGCTAAGTATAATTCTGTTTTGGAGTAGTGAAAGGAATTAGAGAACGATTTATAAAAATATTTCTTGATTACTTTAAACTCTAGGAGATCTGTGGTTTTCTCTTAAGGAGCTGATACCATTAACTACCCCATAACAAGATACTAAGTAGGGACCATAATCCTATTAATTAGAGTAGAATTTTTGTTTTTAAAAATAGAGTGTTATTTGGAAGGCATGTTCTAGTTTTCTACTTCCTTTGCAAACTAGACAATGGCATATTTCCTAAAGATTTGTGTGTCGTAGCCCACAAAGATGCCAAACAACAAATAAGAATAGAGCATTTTGCGTGCTTATTGAAAATTTTTATTGAGCAAAGAGATTACTGTACAATGAAGGTTTAACTCTTCAGCTCCTTGGAAAAGAAACTTTAATGGTAGAAGAAATAATGCATGTAACCCTAGGTATGAAGTTGAAACCATAACCTCCGAGCTACCTTGCAACATAAGAACAAATCAGGCTGGAAAACAACGTAAAAGCAAATGGTTATTTGCCTCCGAACTCTGTTAATAAATCAAACAAATATCGGGAGTGAGAACGCGATTTCGTCTTCACATTTGCAACCATCCTTTTTACCAAACTTATCTTGTACTGAAACTCAGAAAGAAGGCTTTAAACTTTAAGGGGACTTATAACTTTGCAAAAGGATTATTGAAAATCAAAATTTAAGCTGAGGATTCTTGTCGAAAAATTAAGAGATCATTTGAAAGTAAAGTAACTAGAAGAATCTATGATCTGGAGACAATTATCAGATCCACTCACAAGAATGGATTGAAAAACTTTATTGTTAACTCATGTTTGTTTTACTTTTCTTTCTTTCGGATGAATGTCTATCATATTTGTTTTACATGGGAGGTTGCTGTTATTATATAGATGAGTTAGGTTGTACTGTTCATGCGGGACGAACAAGATAGTGGAAAATCCAAAGCAAATTAGATCGTTCTTATTTTTTTTTGAATGAACAGTTCGTTTTTATTTTATTTTTTTAAAATTTTAAAAAAGGATAAACTAATTGTTATTATCAATCTCCTATAAAGACTTTCCTAAGATCTTAAAAGTTACATGTGTGTCAAAGTCAAACACACTTTGGACAGGAAAAAAGGGCATCAAATGCACTGTTGAAATATAATGAAATCATGAATTCCTAATCCCTAACAGAACACTGATAAACTGTTATAATACTTTTAATTGCCTAATAGTGGATAGTATCGATAAAATAAGATTATCTAAATATATAATTATTCTTACAATATATAACACTGGAGACACCCCTTTTTTGAGATGGGAGAGCTAGATGCTACAATGAGGGACACCCATTTTTATCAGAAAATTGTTTGATTATCATTTCTTAGTTTCTCTACTTCTGAGGATGGGAGATCTAGATTCCTGGCGCATGTTTTTGACTAGCCAAGCTGTCTTGCTGTAATGCCTCTTGCTTATATATTATTCTTGAAATTTATGGTCATGTGCTACCAGTTTCCTATTTGAGTTACATACTGATACTTTGCGTTGTATCATCTGTTTGACGTATCTATCATTATCCAAAGTACAGAGTATTTGAATAACTAAA